CAACTGTGGTTCAGACTCGAGTTTAAAAGATTAGTAGTACCAGTTTTAATGAAAGGAGAATTTTGTTTTTGAATAAATTTTTTATTTGAACCTTCATTATTTTTTGAAATTGGACTTTTACTTTTACGTTTATTAGAATTACTTTCCTTTAGAGATGAATAAACTGTTAACGGTTTGAAATTTTGAGTTAAAGAAACGTTTTTCTGAATTTTTGTTGGTGTCTTTTCTGGAGTCGCTGAAACTTCAACATTAAATCCATCTGGCACCAGAAGTGGTGGTTCATCATCAGTACCACAAACAGTGTTAGTGTCATCAATTTTTGTTTCCTCTGATACTGTAGATGACACATTTAAATTGAAATTCTCTTTTAATGTATTGCTATTTTCAAACTTGATTACTTTCCACACAGATTTTCCAATTTTTCCACGTTCTACTGCTATTTCACCCATTTTATTAAGTTCATCAAGACTTTTATGGTCACTAACTAGTAACTTCACGGCCACTTTTATCAATTTATTTATTTCTAATAAACACTTTCTGGTACAATCAACTTCAGTTACATATTTATTCAAAACCTTTGCTACATCATTAGGATTGAACATGATGCAACGTATTTCCAGACTTACATTTCCAGCACGAGGATCTAATGGTTTGTCATTTACTTGATTGGGATCGTCATCTGCAATGTCACCTTCGACCAATTCTATACCTATACAATAATATATTTTCCAAAAGTACCTCTATTTTAAAATTTTACTTGTAATAATTTTTTCGACATATTTACAGACGTCGTGTTCTACTGTTCCGTACAAACATAAGTCAAATTAATTGTGGCTATTAATTGTATACCTTTTTGGACTTCTGATTAGTTATTTACATTTACGTATCTAAATTAGGTACATGTTAAGTTAATAAACTTATAATAAATGTGTATTGCATAGTGTTTATTTGTATATAAATTTTTATAATTATTAATTAATATATACATATAAGGCATACTATACAATATACCTACATACATACTTACCTAACTAATTAGTAGTGTATTTACTATGAATTCCTAATGCGTGTTTAATTTACACGATAAAAATATGCATATATTTATATATGAGTAGTATATAATATATACCGTTCCTGGCGCAGTTAGAGCAGCTCATAATATATCATTAAAAGATCACAAAGAAAACAATGTGCAAAAAGATCAGAAAATTAAAATGCAATAATAATTAAAAATATTTTTTGCAAAACTTATTAAATGCAAAAATATTAAAAATATTTTTTGCAAAACTTATGAAATGCAAAAATAATAAAAATATTTTCCGCAAAACTTAATTATTAATAATTAAAATCGAAATGAAATAATAATCAAAATATTTTTTCACAAAACTTATGAAATGCAAAAACCCCCAAAATATTTTTCATAATACTTATGATATTAATAATTAAAATCGAAATGTAATATAGTGTATTAAAAAATATTTTAAAAGAAATTGAATACTTTAGTTAAAGGAATTTAAATTTTGTAATAAAAGAATGGAAACTATAAACAATTATAAAAAGTTACAATAAATCGAAATGCAAAACGAAGTAGAAAACTATATATTAAATATTAATTATTTACATATAATTGTCATAAATTACCTTCATCACTATATGGTACCTGTATGTATACCTAACCTTTGGTATTATACATTTAAATTGGTATTCAAAATTTTTAAATATTTTAATGTTTAAATGATACAAGTAGGTATACAATATTATACATGTATATTGTATACTTACTGAATTCTGACATTAGAATTTAGAACACTGAACATTGTGTTAAAAAAATAAATAAATTGTGTTTTTATTTGTGTTAAAAAAAATTTCAATGTTTCACGTTTTTGTGAAATATTTCACAACTTAGTGAAATATTTCAAAATGAAATATTTCATGAAATATTTCTCATACTTCAAACACTAAATATGTTATACTCCCAGAGGGAGTTTTTGCGTACAGAAATTATTTCTGTAAGGTTTATCACAACATTATATGAATTTAGTTATTCCTTATTATTTATCACCAATAGACAATAATTATTATTTATTTATTTAAAAATATTAATGTATACATTTATGTATAACCATATACTTGGACAAGGTTTAATTGTATATTTAGATAATAATATATTATATTCTTAATAGTAGTTGAAACATATTGAAGATACGTATGCAGGATTTTTTTTTAAGCATCAAAAATTCAAAATTTGATGAATTTCATCGACATTTTGATATTTTTTAAATTTTGTTGTAGTTAAAAATAGGTCTTGAAACCGAAAATATTTTTTCGATTGTGATTTCGGTTTCGGATATTAGTATTTATTTTTTCTGATTTCGTTTTTGGTTTTGAATACCGGTTTTATTTTTTCTGATTTAAATTTAAGTTTTGACTACCGTTAAGTATTGATTTTTTTCGATTTTGTCTTCGGTTTTTAACGGCTTTAACCAGTATTCAAAATATTGCCTTATCCAATATCGGATTCAAGCCCTGGACTTGAAAATGTATAAAAATGTGTTCAATTTTTATAGCTATCTAAGTATTGAAAATTTAAAACGAGGTTTCTTGCAAGTAGTTCATATTACTCGGTGTTCAAATTGTTTTTGTCACCTGAATATATATTTAATATACAAATTAAACATGGTACAAACTCAATGCATTTTAAACAGATGTATAATCGTTATTATACGTGGCTTAAAATTATAGGCTAAATTAATTTTTGCAGGAAAATTGCTTTTAAAATATCATTTCGTGTCCATGATATAACAATACACTTAAAAAGTTTCAAGTACCTCCGAATAATATATTAAAACTACAACCATCTAACTATAAGCAATATTCTTCTTTTAACATCTAATTTCGATTAAATTTGAACTTAAAATCTTACGTTCATGATGTTGGACACCTGACTATTACGAATCAATTTCGGACCTAATTCAAAATTTAGAAAACGTTCAGTAACTAATCGTAACCGAAATCAAACAATGTGTACCCAAACCGTTTACGAAGAAACTTAATTTCTATTTCAGAGAGCTAAAATTGTATTAACTTACAATATTTGACACGCAACGTTTTGACAATATTCCACTTTAATTTTAACTTCAGACATAATATCTATTTCTATTAATTCACTATATCGTTGGTTAGAAGGTAAAAGGGCGTAAACGCCAATTTCCAAATTGTTCGAGAGAGCAGAAAAACAGATATTTTCATATGATCTGTGTTACAGCCTTAGAACATCGTATAACACTTCGATTTGAGACTTAATATGATTTATAATGAGTTTTTACGTATTTTGTATTGATTAATTGTTCATAATCATATTATATTTTTGTATTAAAAGCCAATTTAAAAAAAAAATGACTTTTACGCCCCTTATTTTCTGATCTTGGGTCTTACACCCCAAAGATGTTCTATTGACTATAAAGGCTTCCATAGTTTAAATAAGATATTGTTTTATTTGTTTTATATTATTAATTAAATTCAATGAAGATAATATGTAGTGAAAGTATTTAAGTGTAAATATTCAATATTTAGGACAAAAATTAGTGATATAACAAAAAAAAAACTCTTTGTAAAAATGGCTAAGTATAATAAATATAAGATCTTTAAGCACTATAAAGCAAAGCTGGACAAGTTAGTCATTTTTTTCAACTAGTGGAAGTTAAGTTACTTTAATAAGAAAAACTCACTAAGTTAAAATATAAGTTAGTTTCTGAAACTGTAGAAATTTCTAACGAAGTTTGTTTGGTGAAAATAGTAACTTAAGTTTGAGTAGAAGTTAGGAGTTAGTTTTTTTTATAGATTACAAAACCTTTTGGTCGAAATGTAAATAATAAGTTATCTAACTTAAATTATTGATTAAAACTGAAAAATTGAATTAAACACCTAGTATCTAATTTGATCAAAATATTCTAATTATGTAAGTAATAATTTAAATAAATTGGTATATCACTTATCAGTTGTTAGAACATATAGGGTGAAACAAAATAAAAAACTATATATAACAGTATGACTACTTAAAATATTCATTTTGACAAAAAAAAAAAATAATAATAATAATTAGTTAGTTTTTTTTTCTAACGAGTTACATTAGACTATTTTACCCATTGAATTCAACTAGTTAAGTTACAAAGTTAATATGAATTAAAACCAACTAGTTAAGTTGGAAAGTTACTTAAAAAAGTAACTTTCTAACTAGTTAGTGGCCAGTTTTATGTGATATCATGCATAAATGCTAAATATATTAAGTATATTGAATTTAAGTAAACTCATTTTGTTTCAATAATTTATTTACTTGGCGAGGAATCATTTAGAATAGTATATGAATATTAATTATTATATTATTATATTTAAAATAATAATAAGTTATATTTTAAAAATCCTTCGCCATTTAATTATTTTGTTCATCACACTTTGTTTCTTTTAAGAAATAATTCCTCACCAAGTAAATAAATTATTGAAACAAAATAGGTTTACTTAAATTCAATATACATACTTAATATTATACTTATTACCATTTATTCATGATATCACACTTTATAGTGATTAAAGATCTTATATTTTTTATACTTAGCCATTTTTACACATAGTTTACGAAGGGTTTTTGTTGTGATAAAATGTATACACATAATACACATAAATATGTATCACTAAATAAAACTGTTCACTATTTAGATGTGTATGCTTTCACTGCATTTAGTGATTCAACTAGGATGATAGACTTTAGATATAAGCATAGACATTTCAATAGTCAAAATTATTTTTTAGATGCAGAACCATCACTTTCAGCAGATACCGACCAATTATTATTATGACTTGTGTTGCAACATTGGGAGAACTAATCTTAACAAAGGGAGAGTTTGATTTTTGAATACTTTTCTTATTTGGTTCATTAACAGTTTTTGATACTGGAGATTTACTCGATTTGAGTTTTTCATCACTGCACACACTCCAACTCTCATTTAGACTTGAATTTGTATTCTTTCATTAGAACGACGTTTTAGTTTGGATATAACTAAATCATCAGTAGTTTGATTTTTTTCCTCAACTCCATTATCTGATGTAAGATCATTGACAGGTGATGCATTTACTGCTTGTAATGCTTTAGCAGACTCAATGCTCTTTTTAACCTTCTTAGAAGCAGACCCTCCATTGTTTGCAGATACTGACCAACTGTGGTTCAGACTCGAGTTTAAAAGATTAGTAGTACCAGTTTTAATGAAAGGAGAATTTTGTTTTTGAATAAATTTTTTATTTGAACCTTCATTATTTTTTGAAATTGGACTTTTACTTTTACGTTTATTAGAATTACTTTCCTTTAGAGATGAATAAACTGTTAACGGTTTGAAATTTTGAGTTAAAGAAACGTTTTTCTGAATTTTTGTTGGTGTCTTTTCTGGAGTCGCTGAAACTTCAACATTAAATCCATCTGGCACCAGAAGTGGTGGTTCATCATCAGTACCACAAACAGTGTTAGTGTCATCAATTTTTGTTTCCTCTGATACTGTAGATGACACATTTAAATTGAAATTCTCTTTTAATGTATTGCTATTTTCAAACTTGATTACTTTCCACACAGATTTTCCAATTTTTCCACGTTCTACTGCTATTTCACCCATTTTATTAAGTTCATCAAGACTTTTATGGTCACTAACTAGTAACTTCACGGCCACTTTTATCAATTTATTTATTTCTAATAAACACTTTCTGGTACAATCAACTTCAGTTACATATTTATTCAAAACCTTTGCTACATCATTAGGATTGAACATGATGCAACGTATTTCCAGACTTACATTTCCAGCACGAGGATCTAATGGTTTGTCATTTACTTGATTGGGATCGTCATCTGCAATGTCACCTTCGACCAATTCTATACCTATACAATAATATATTTTCCAAAAGTACCTCTATTTTAAAATTTTACTTGTAATAATTTTTTCGACATATTTACAGACGTCGTGTTCTACTGTTCCGTACAAACATAAGTCAAATTAATTGTGGCTATTAATTGTATACCTTTTTGGACTTCTGATTAGTTATTTACATTTACGTATCTAAATTAGGTACATGTTAAGTTAATAAACTTATAATAAATGTGTATTGCATAGTGTTTATTTGTATATAAATTTTTATAATTATTAATTAATATATACATATAAGGCATACTATACAATATACCTACATACATACTTACCTAACTAATTAGTAGTGTATTTACTATGAATTCCTAATGCGTGTTTAATTTACACGATAAAAATATGCATATATTTATATATGAGTAGTATATAATATATACCGTTCCTGGCGCAGTTAGAGCAGCTCATAATATATCATTAAAAGATCACAAAGAAAACAATGTGCAAAAAGATCAGAAAATTAAAATGCAATAATAATTAAAAATATTTTTTGCAAAACTTATTAAATGCAAAAATATTAAAAATATTTTTTGCAAAACTTATGAAATGCAAAAATAATAAAAATATTTTCCGCAAAACTTAATTATTAATAATTAAAATCGAAATGAAATAATAATCAAAATATTTTTTCACAAAACTTATGAAATGCAAAAACCCCCAAAATATTTTTCATAATACTTATGATATTAATAATTAAATCGAAATGTAATATAGTGTATTAAAAAATATTTTAAAAGAAATTGAATACTTTAGTTAAAGGAATTTAAATTTTGTAATAAAAGAATGGAAACTATAAACAATTATAAAAAGTTACAATAAATCGAAATGCAAAACGAAGTAGAAAACTATATATTAAATATTAATTATTTACATATAATTGTCATAAATTACCTTCATCACTATATGGTACCTGTATGTATACCTAACCTTTGGTATTATACATTTAAATTGGTATTCAAAATTTTAAATATTTAATGTTTAAATGATACAAGTAGGTATACAATATTATACATGTATATTGTATACTTACTGAATTCTGACATTAGAATTTAGAACACTGAACATTGTGTTAAAAAAATAAATAAATTGTGTTTTTATTTGTGTTAAAAAAAATTTCAATGTTTCACGTTTTTGTGAAATATTTCACAACTTAGTGAAATATTTCAAAATGAAATATTTCATGAAATATTTCTCATACTTCAAACACTAAATATGTTATACTCCCAGAGGGAGTTTTTGCGTACAGAAATTATTTCTGTAAGGTTTATCACAACATTATATGAATTTAGTTATTCCTTATTATTTATCACCAATAGACAATAATTATTATTTATTTATTTAAAAATATTAATGTATACATTTATGTATAACCATATACTTGGACAAGGTTTAATTGTATATTTAGATAATAATATATTATATTCTTAATAGTAGTTGAAACATATTGAAGATACGTATGCAGGATTTTTTTTAAGCATCAAAAATTCAAAATTTGATGAATTTCATCGACATTTTGATATTTTTTAAATTTTGTTGTAGTTAAAAATAGGTCTTGAAACCGAAAATATTTTTTCGATTGTGATTTCGGTTTCGGATATTAGTATTTATTTTTTCTGATTTCGTTTTTGGTTTTGAATACCGGTTTTTATTTTTTCTGATTTAAATTTAGTTTTGACTACCGTTAAGTATTGATTTTTTTCGATTTTGTCTTCGGTTTTTAACGGCTTTAACCAGTATTCAAAATATTGCCTTATCCAATATCGGATTCAAGCCCTGGACTTGAAAATGTATAAAAATGTGTTCAATTTTTATAGCTATCTAAGTATTGAAAATTTAAAACGAGGTTTCTTGCAAGTAGTTCATATTACTCGGTGTTCAAATTGTTTTTGTCACCTGAATATATATTTAATATACAATTAAAACATGGTACAAACTCAATGCATTTTAAACAGATGTATAATCGTTATTATACGTGGCTTAAAATTATAGGCTAAATTAATTTTTGCAGGAAAATTGCTTTTAAAATATCATTTCGTGTCCATGATATAACAATACACTTAAAAAGTTTCAAGTACCTCCGAATAAATATTTTAAAACTACAACCATCTAACTATAAGCAATATTCTTCTTTTAACATCTAATTTCGATTAAATTTGAACTTAAAATCTTACGTTCATGATGTTGGACACCTGACTATTACGAATCAATTTCGGACCTAATTCAAAATTTAGAAAACGTTCAGTAACTAATCGTAACCGAAATCAAACAATGTGTACCCAAACCGTTTACGAAGAAACTTAATTTCTATTTCAGAGAGCTAAAATTGTATTAACTTACAATATTTGACACGCAACGTTTTGACAATATTCCACTTTAATTTTAACTTCAGACATAATATCTATTTCTATTAATTCACTATATCGTTGGTTAGAAGGTAAAAGGCGTAACGCCAATTTCCAAATTGTTCGAGAGAGCAGAAAAAACAGATATTTTCATATGATCTGTGTTACAGCCTTAGAACATCGTATAACACTTCGATTTGAGACTTAATATGATTTATAATGAGTTTTTACGTATTTAGTTGTATTTATTAATTGTTCATAATCATATTATATTTTTGTATTAAAAGCCAATTTAAAAAAAATGACTTTTAACGCCCCTTATTTCTGATCTTGGGTCTTACACCCCAAAAGATGTTCTATTGACTATAAAGGCTTCAATAGTTTATAATAAGATATTGTTTTATTGGTTTTATATTATTAATTAAATTCAATGAAGATAATATGTAGTGAAAGTATTTAAGTGTAAATATTCAATATTTAGGACAAAAATTAGTGATATAACAAAAAAAAAACTCTTTGTAAAAATGGCTAAGTATAATAAATATAAGATCTTTAAGCACTATAAAGCAAAGCTGGACAAGTTAGTCATTTTTTTCAACTAGTGGAAGTTAAGTTACTTTAATAAGAAAAACTCACTAAGTTAAAATATAAGTTAGTTTCTGAAACTGTAGAAATTTCTAACGAAGTTTGTTTGGTGAAAATAGTAACTTAAGTTTGAGTAGAAGTTAGGAGTTAGTTTTTTTTATAGATTACAAAACCTTTTGGTCGAAATGTAAATAATAAGTTATCTAACTTAAATTATTGATTAAAACTGAAAAATTGAATTAAACACCTAGTATCTAATTTGATCAAAATATTCTAATTATGTAAGTAATAATTTAAATAAATTGGTATATCACTTATCAGTTTGTTAGAAACATATAGGGTGAAACAAAATAAAAACTATATATAACAGTATGACTACTTAAATATTCATTTTGACAAAAAAAAAAAATAATAATAATAATTAGTTAGTTTTTTTTTCTAACGAGTTACATTAGACTATTTTACCCATTGAATTCAACTAGTTAAGTTACAAAGTTAATATGAATTAAAACCAACTAGTTAAGTTGGAAAGTTACTTAAAAAAGTAACTTTCTAACTAGTTAGTGGCCAGTTTTATGTGATATCATGCATAAATGCTAAATATATTAAGTATATTGAATTTAAGTAAACTCATTTTGTTTCAATAATTTATTTACTTGGCGAGGAATCATTTAGAATAGTATATGAATATTAATTATTATATTATTATATTTAAAATAATAATAAGTTATATTTTAAAAATCCTTCGCCATTTAATTATTTTGTTCATCACACTTTGTTTCTTTTAAGAAATAATTCCTCACCAAGTAAATAAATTATTGAAACAAAATAGGTTTACTTAAATTCAATATACATACTTAATATTATACTTATTACCATTTATTCATGATATCACACTTTATAGTGATTAAAGATCTTATATTTTTTATACTTAGCCATTTTTACACATAGTTTACGAAGGGTTTTTGTTGTGATAAAATGTATACACATAATACACATAAATATGTATCACTAAATAAAACTGTTCACTATTTAGATGTGTATGCTTTCACTGCATTTAGTGATTCAACTAGGATGATAGACTTTAGATATAAGCATAGACATTTCAATAGTCAAAATTATTTTTTAGATGCAGAACCATCACTTTCAGCAGATACCGACCAATTATTATTATGACTTGTGTTGCAACATTGGGAGAACTAATCTTAACAAAGGGAGAGTTTGATTTTTGAATACTTTTCTTATTTGGTTCATTAACAGTTTTTGATACTGGAGATTTACTCGATTTGAGTTTTTCATCACTGCACACACTCCAACTCTCATTTAGACTTGAATTTGTATTCTTTCATTAGAACGACGTTTTAGTTTGGATATAACTAAATCATCAGTAGTTTGATTTTTTTCCTCAACTCCATTATCTGATGTAAGATCATTGACAGGTGATGCATTTACTGCTTGTAATGCTTTAGCAGACTCAATGCTCTTTTTAACCTTCTTAGAAGCAGACCCTCCATTGTTTGCAGATACTGACCAACTGTGGTTCAGACTCGAGTTTAAAAGATTAGTAGTACCAGTTTTAATGAAAGGAGAATTTTGTTTTTGAATAAATTTTTTATTTGAACCTTCATTATTTTTTGAAATTGGACTTTTACTTTTACGTTTATTAGAATTACTTTCCTTTAGAGATGAATAAACTGTTAACGGTTTGAAATTTGAGTTAAAGAACGTTTTTCTGAATTTTTGTTGGTGTCTTTTTCTGGAGTCGCTGAAACTTCAACATTAAATCCATCTGGCACCAGAAGTGGTGGTTCATCATCAGTACCACAAACAGTGTTAGTGTCATCAATTTTTGTTTCCTCTGATACTGTAGATGACACATTTAAATTGAAATTCTCTTTTAATGTATTGCTATTTTCAAACTTGATT